AATAATAATAATAATAATAATAATAATAATAATAATAATAATAATAATAATAATAATAATAGGGAAAATGACACTTTTTCCCCCTGAGTTATATACTTATAGCCCTTTTTCCCCCTCAATTATTTAGGTAAGCACATTAGCCCCCTCAATTATTCTAAAAGTGGTGGTTTTTTCCCCTGATGTATTAAATTGACATTTCTACCCTTAAAGTAAACATTTTATTTATTTTACTTCTCCAACAAATTATCGCATATACGTAGGGATGACCACGGTTCGGATCAAACTGAACCGAACACTATAGCAATTGAATTAAATGTTTCCGGTTATGATTCAGATCTAGAACCTAATATTTGGATTTCAATTTATTAAAATTATGAATCAAAAAAATTGGATCTTGAACCGTGAATCGGCGGTTCTGGATCCGGTTCGCGATTTTGAACCGTCTTTATTTTAAAATTTTATTTTTTATTTTAAATATTCTAAATTCAAAAATAAATGAATTTTATTTTTCAGTTCGGAACATGAACCGTCCATTCCGGTTCGCGATTTTAATAAACTCTAAATATCGAGTTTCGATTCTAAATTGTAATTGGAATATTTCAGTTTGGTTGCTATAGTGTTTGTTTGGTTTGAACCAAATTATGGTCATAATTTGTTGGAGAAGGAAAATAAATGAAATATTTATTTTAAGGGTAAATATGTCTATTTAACGTTTCAGGGGGAAAAACAGCCACTTGAATAATTCAGGGGAAAAAAGTGCTATAAGTATATAACTTAGGGGGAAGAAGTGCCATTTTCCCATAATAATAATAATAAGAAGGGAAAATTGCACTTTTCATCCCTAAGTTATAGGGTAATTGTAGAATTCGTCCTAAGTGTTAGTCATGTTCACATTTTAGCCCTAAGCTATCATTAACGTTGCACTTTTCTTCTTTTTATTAACTTTTTGTGCTAACTTTTCGTCCATAAGCTATACTAAAGTTGTAAATTTCGTCCCTAAAGTTTTGTTAGTAAATGGATGCAAAGTGCATCGCCAATGATAACTTAGGGACGAAAAATAAGCATGACCAACAATTAGGGACAAATTCTATAATTATCATATAACTAAGGAACGAAGAGTGTAATTTTCTCTAATAATAATGTAAACCATTTTTTATAAATTTGATATTTATATTTTAGGAAATAACTTATATAGTACTCCGATATATAATGTCTATATATTATTACCATTTGAGAAGATAAGAAAATATATGTTGGATATATGTGCATGACAACAATAGTTGAATAAAGTAACGAGAGTTATAACAGTAAGATATTTTTGAACAAAATAGTGTATAGTACAACTCTTATAGCAAGTCACAGTAAAACAGACATAAATGAAAGATATAACTTTCATTCACGCTTATTAGTTTTTATTAGATTTAAAATTATTTTTAATAATATAATAAATGGCGGCTACTTGTATTGAGTACCCACATTCAATGGGTGAGATGGATTTTTAAAAAGTCTACACGCTACGAGTCGAGGTCAGGGTGGGCAGAAAAAGTATAAGAGTGTGTTAGGTGATAGATGTAGTCATTCCTAAATGTGGTTTCTAAGACATGTTTTTTCAAACTTGAAAATTAACAAATTGTTTAAACATTTTTGAAAGAGAACAAGTCTTGTGTAAAATTATTTTCTTAAGACGTATAATATCTTTTAGTTAAAATATAATATTTGCCTAACCCAGTCCCAATGGCGTTATTTGAGCGGCAAACGTCACTGTTTAGTAGTTGGCAGCTGCCATAATTAGCCGGCATTATTGGGTTTCCATCACACCAAGATAATGATGGTCCAATTAAGCTACATCTCAAAATCTTATAATTTTTTGAAACCCTCGATCATTATCTGAATGTGGATCAAGAAGACTAATAGACCGCTCTCGATAGGAGTCAAACTTATAATATTGTGATTATTAAATCAGTACCTTGATTTATACAATAACACGCACGTGTTTCTTCCAACTTTATTAAAGATCTTAAAACTCACGAAAAAGTATTTTGTGACAAATCATACAATTCACTAAGGTTCACCTTGCATCATAATCTATGGTCCAAAACGACATTTAGATTATATAATTATAATTAATATATTATGTACTTTCGATTAACAAATTATGTTGATTTCAACCAATAAATAAATTGAAAGTCGGTATATAATATGTTAATTATAATAGGTATATAATTTATTAACTAAAGGTACATAATACGTTAATTATAATAGATACATAATTTACTAACTACATGTACGTAATATATTAATTGTCTCACGTGTGGTTGTGTGATGATTAATGTGCGTGAGTTTTGTACTTAAGGTGCGTGAGCCTTGTGTTTATGGTGCATGACTTTTGTTCTTAAGGTGCGTGGGTTGTGTATTTAATGTGAGTAGTTATTGAAACTTAATGTACGTGAGTTTTGTGCTTAAGGTGCGTGAGTTTTGTGGTTAATGTGCGTGAGTTTTTTACTTAAGATGCGTGAGTTTTGTGCTTAAGGTGTGTGAGTTTGTGCTTAATGTGAGTAGTTGTTGAAAATTAATGTGCGTGAGTTTCCTTCTTAATGTGCGTTGTTTTCCTCCTTAAGGTGCGTGATTTGTATGCTTAATGTGCGTCAATTGTGTGAAACTTAATGTGCGTGGGTTGTGTACTTAAAGTGCACCAATTTAATGCTTAAAGTGCATTCCTTTGCACAACCGCACGAGAACCCCTCCCTGCACTGTATCCCTTCCCTGTGTAGTATATATATGTATATATTTTACTGTGTAGTATATATATAGTCTGTATAGTATACTAGTAATTGTCCCGTGCTGCACGAACAAATTTATCAATTAAATTTTTAACATCCTCTGAATTAGCAAAGAAAGTAATGACTGTGGAAACATAAAAACGTACTTGAGTTCTCGAGCTCAGAATTAGTTTGATTAAAAATGTAAGTATAACTATACAATGTAATATTTAATATGTTTAAAAGTTTAATTATGATATTATTATGTTGATTTTAAAGTTTATTGTTACTTATATTATTATTTGAATTTGAATTTTTTTTTGAAAGGAATCTGAATTTGAAAATAACTACATTAATTATATAACTAACGTATTTAAATAAAACTTGTAAATAAAATAACAGACGATATTTGTCGAAAATCTCCACCAAAAAATTATTTATTTGAAAAAAATTATTTATGTAAGAACTATATTTATTTTATATCTAATTCCTCCTCTTTATATATGTGGAGTCAAATTAATTATAATTGAGGTTTAAATGAATATATACACAAATTATATTAAATATAAAACTTTACCAATAAATTTGAACACAATAAATTTTTTTCCATACTTCATTATGCTTTAATATATATATATATATATATATATATATATATATATATATATATATATATATATATATATATATATAGAGAGAGAGAGAGAGAGAGAGAGAGAGAGAGAGATAGAGATAGAGCTATAATAATAAAATATAATTTATAAAATATAAATACATATAATAACTTCAAAAAAATATGTATAAATACATCTATCCACACAATTGAATTAAAAAAAAAAAAAAAAAAAAAGTTCGCGGACCGAGTCACGGGGCCTGCCAACCTGCATGGCAATCATTATTGCATGGACCATGGTCCATACAAATTGTGTGGATCATAAATAAAAGATACTCCGTATATTTTGAATATACTAAGGGTATATTATTTATATACTTAAGGTACATTTTTAAAAAATACATTTTTAATATACTAAGGGTACATTATTTTATATAATGCATCTTCAACACAAAATTAATGTACCTTCAGTACAAAAATAACGTACTTTTAATATATTAAAAGTGTACCTGATATTCATGGTCCATGCAATAATTTGCCCATGCCTGGTGCGGGCTATGGTTGCATGAACCCTAGTCCATAAAAACATTTTTCAGAAATCATTTTCTGATTTTTCAAACGCACCCTTAATTTCAAATGGATTGGGGTTACAAAATCAAATCCGAAATCCGCTCGATTGTGACCTCCGATCATTCGATCTGTCCGAACCCGTCCGCTGTACAACCCTACTTGAACTGAAATATTTTGATAATTTAGTATTTTTAAAAATAAATTTAAAAAAAAAAACATATTTTATAGAAAAGATGGTTGTTTTGTAAGGAAATCAAAAAGTCAATTTTGTAATTAAATTAAATATTAAGATTAAATTAGTAACAAATAGTACAATTGGAGAAGCATAATGCGCAACATCCATCATTTCTTAACATTAAAAGTGAGATGCTATTAGCCATGTGAGGAGCTTGGGAATGCAAGGATTGTTAACCAATTCAAACGCTAGTAGTGAGATGCAAGGATTGTTAACCAAGGGCCATGCGAGGAGCTTGGGAATGCAACTGCTCGAACCCATCCGATTGTTTTGAGAATGGTTTAGAGGCTTGAAACGATCTCTACTATCTTGAGGAAGGTTACCTACGCTATGGGTCTACCCTTATTTCAACTACAGTTTCATTTGACATTATACATACAATAATCTTATTATAATGAGATATGTTATTGAATTTTGTTTTATACACACTGGAGTCTTATTACAACACCACTAAATTATAATTCTAATTCAATTACAGTTTCATTGGATAATATACACTCAAATATGTGAAACTGTTATGCAGTTTCATTTTATATACACTGTAGTTTTTTTACAACACAACTAAAATATCATTTTGATGTAGTCCGGTTTCATTTGACAATATACATTCAATATGTGAGACATGTTATTCAATTTCTTTTTATATATACTGTAGTTTTATTTCAGCAAAATAAAGTATCATTTCAAATTAACTACACTTCTATTTGACAATATACGCTCAATATGTGAGACACGTTATTCAGTTTCATTTTATATATACTCCAGTTTTATTTCAACACAATTAAAGTATCATTTCAATTCAATTACAGTTCCATTTGATAATAAAAATGATTGAGAAAAATAACATTATTCAAAATAAAAATGCCACTATTGTCGACAGAACAAAAGTGATATTAATTTTGATAATCACTAGAAGACGTGTTTCACTAATCCAGGAAAGTGAGCTTTCATGAAATAATCTTCCCAGCTAATTGCTTTAGGATCAAAATAGAATAATTCAGTTTCAATGCCTCCTTCTTTTGCAGCTCTCCTCAATTTTTCTGTATTCATATCATCATATCTGTCCACAAAATTCACACCACTTTTGATTTTCTTGCATGTGCAAATTAATTAAAAATATGATTAATTAAATACTTAATTACTCACATTCCTTTGAAGAATAAGTAAGGTCGATATAAGTCCACCAGCTTCATCACAAATTTGAATTTTCTATTCTTCTCATCACACTTTCTCTGGAAATACTTACAACATATAGTGTTCAATATCTCCAACCCCTGCACAGTACATCCATGCATGCAAATCAAATTCCTTATTTTTTTAAGTAAAATTTCAAGTTTTAACCTCTTTTAAGAAAATGTACGTAATTAGATTTTGATGTGGTAAATTGTATTTTAGGGATATAGATATAAGACTCCAAAAACTTAAGACCTTTGTAGGAACAAAGGTTCTCAACATGCAACAAGGCTTGAGAACAACCAGGGTTTATGCATGCAGTAAAAGTATAAGCATCATAAGTTCAATCAACAATACTTTTCAGGGATCTAACAATAGAGTTTTTTAATAAGCAACAAAACTTATAACAGATGACGATAAGCAGAGGAACTTCGTTCTCGACCGACATTCTTTGTTTATTACTTTCCGTTTTTAAACAATAGGTTTAATTTTGGTTTAAAAAATAAAAACAACCAAAACCTTCAAAGGGAGCAGATAACGAATGGTCATATATGTTTGGAAGCTAGCCATGGTGCTTAACACAGTCATCTTCCCAACGAGAATAGGTTTTCCATCCTTGCCTATCCATGGATGCTTGGTGAAGTAATGGTGCCCATAATCTCGTATCAAACCGTACTCCAATGGGTTGGATACCGATGATCCTATGTGGTATATGCTCTCACTGCCTCGTTCATCTGCATGCCCCACCATGGCTACTATCATGGCATTCACCACCATATCAGCTGGGATCTGTAATTTTATCCGACAAAGTATTTGGGATGATGTAAATTATGATAACTTAATGGTGTTAGTGTTTGATATATGTTTGATTAGTGTTTGGTGTTATTGATCATTTTTGACAAATTGTTAGTTAATAGCGATGCATTCAAACAATTAAAGAAGAACGCACTGCTGGAAATTATGGAATTTCCGACCATCTGAAAGTGATCTTAAATCAAGTCGAAAGTTTTGTTCTGACCACTTTTGGTATCTGAAAAAACCTTTGTTGCTATTTTCGACCACTTTTTGCTTTCGACTTGATTTAAGATCACTTTTAGGTAGTCGGAAATTTCATAATTTTCAATAGTGACAGATTTATCAAGTGCACACTCTCGAATAGTGATTGCCTGTTGATTTTTTTTGCCATAAAAAAATGTAATACATATATATAACATTTTTTCCTAATAATGAATAAGTTACTAGATCACTCACCACATCTATAATGGTCTTTGGATCACCTAAGAAGCATGATAGTCTTCCTTTAGCATAACCAAGTACTAAGCTATCAATGGTTCTGCATAGGATATGTTATATTATTCAACAACAGAAGAAATTAATTAGAAATATTTGAATATAATGGAGTGGATGATTGAGTACTATACCTGACACCTTCGACCCAACCAAGGAAAGGTTCTTTGTAAGTGCTAGTTATGATGGTAGGACGCAGAATAAGAAGAGGTATGTCATCTCGCAACTTACCCAAAAGCATCTCTCCCATTGCCTTTGTGAATACATAAGTGTTTGGCCACCCATATGTCCTTGCTCTTTGTATTCATTAGAGAAATATAGTTAGTGAAATAATTATTGTTATTAAAACCAGTATAGTACATACAAAACTATATATCTGATCTATTTGAAAATAAAAAATTTTAAAAAATCATAATAATATTCATGAAAAGACATTTTGTTTGGTAGTGGATTGAAATTGAAATTAAAATTAAAATATATAAATAAAGGAAAAAAAATTCAAATAAGTCACCAAACACATGTAAAAGTGCAATTGGAACATCTAACTCAAAAAAAAAAAAAAAAAGTATAATTAAGTCTATGAACTGTCCAAAGTTATATAATTCGACCAAGTTTGACTTGTTTCTCATGTCATCGTTGACATGACGGTTATCCTATTAAAATTATATTTGTTTAGTTCATTTTAATAAATAAATAAATAAATAACACACTTTCCTCCCTGCCTTTGTCGATCTCCAATTGGAGATGAAAAATATTCTTTATCTCCATGCCAGAGACGAAGACTTTCATCATCTCCAAGCGGGAGATGAAACGTTTTCTTTGTCTCCAGGCTAGAGACGAATAATTTTCTTCGAAGACGAAGACGGTGGGGGTGGGGTTTTTCTCTTTTTTCTTTTTTTTTATATAAAAAATATTATTTTATTTAAAATAAATTTTAAAAAATAATAATTTTTTATAGGATGACCGCCACATCAATCATGACCTGAAGAACATGTCAACTTTGGTCGAATTGCATAATTTTGGACAGTTCAAGAACTTAATTACACTTTTTGAGTTGGATGCATGGTTCAATTACACTTTTATGTATAGTTCAACAATCATTATTGTGTGGACCATATTTTGTATATTTTAAAATAGTGTACGTTCAGTACAAAAATAATATACATTGTATTCAAGGGATGTACATTATTTTTGTATTGAGTGTACATACAGTACAAAAATAATGTACATTTAGTATATTAAAAATATACTTTTTGTTATGGTCCACATAACACTGTGTGGACCATGGTCTACACAATAATTTGCCATAGTTCAATGGCTAGTTAATTTAAACATTTTTCCATAATAAATAATGTCGGGTGGAGACTTGGAGGATCAGGTCTAACATGACGCTGACTAGTTACTATGCAAGTATAAGGTCATAAATCCAATAGTAAAACAGTAATTTAACTTTAATCCAATAGTTGGTTAATTAATTACGTTCAAAAATCAAAATCCATAAACCAAATGTCCCATAGTAAACTACCTTTGGATTCCCAGTTCTTTCATGGCTAAGGTTATGGATTCATCAGAAGCATTCTCAACTATGAGGTTTTTCAAAGTCTCTTCTATTATCTCATTCTCCCTATCAATGTCCAGCCCACATCTTCCATTCAGTGTTTCACCCATTTGTAATGTACTCTCTTGTAACAGCCCATCCCTTTCACCAAACACGTAAGCTGAATATTATAAAATAAAATATATTATTATGTTAGCCAATAAATTTCGGTCTGTCGAAGAGACACACGGTATATTATCATTCACACTTAATAGAAAGACATTCATAAAATTGTAATTTTATGGTGAATTACTATTTTATCATTTTTCTTCTTATTATAGTATTATTATACAAGAATATTAATTTTAGTCTTTATTCACTTTGCTTTTTCAATTCCTAATCATTATATTCCTGTCTACCAAATAATTTAAATTCTCATTTTATTTTTTTCATGTAATTATAATTATTTTTCCTCCTAATTCCCTCATTTCAACCAAAGACCCTGTTATTGATGTTCGATATACAATGTGGTCCATATTTTAAATTTACAAAGGCATGTTAACCAATATAATTAATATGCCAGAAAGGATTGTAAAGGGTCCAGGAAACATTAATTTGTAAATACCACTAACCAGTGGATACGTGAAGAAAAACCTTTAATTTCTTGCATTTTTTGGCGAAGTGTAGTAAGTGTGTTGGTCCCATTGTATTAATCCCAATGGCCACATCATATCTGTAAAACACACATTGATATATTAGAGAGTGACACATAGATCTAATAGTCATTATTATACATTAATAAATGAAGTTTAGCATCCAAAGCACATGCACCTTTCATAAAAATCAGTAATTGCAGCTAGGTTAACCACAACGTCTACTTCCTTCTGCATTTGGTCCAGCAGATGAGAGTCCTTTACGCCCATCTTCTCAAAAGTAACATCACCGGCTACAATACTCACCTTTTCCGATATTATATTATTCAACTTTTTCCCATACTTCTCTTTCACAGCTCTGAACAAGTCTTTCTCCATAACCTGATCCACAACAATTTAGTTATTTGAATCTGGTCCAAATTTAATAATTTAACTGTTTCAATCAGGTCAAAGTAAATTTCGATTACACTAAATTAAAGAATATATGTTGTTAAACTGATTCTTTGATGTTTATTGTTAATTAGTATTAAATTAGATTTAGGAGTTATCTTAAATCTAATTTAATAGTAACTAACAATAAACATCAAAGAATCCGTTTAAATCCTAAATTAAATAACTAAATAATTAATATAATAATTTCTTAAAAAACTAATTAATTTAAAATTATAATGGCACCAAAGTTCAGCTCAATCATAAATTACTTACACCCCCTATTTAGACTTTCACTAGCTCAAGACCAACAAATTAAATGATCTACTAGGGCTTTGTTTGGCAGAGCTTATTTAGGAGCTTATTGCTTATTTTAAGCTACTAATAAGCTATAAGCTCTGTTTGATAATGTTCTCTAAATAAGCTCCTAACTTAAAATAAGAGCTTATTTTGGAACGCTATCTTAGGTAGTGTTACAAAATAAGCTCCTAGCTTCCTAACTTTTTTTCCATCTTTATCCTTATTATTTTAAAGAAATAACATAATTTACCTTTGCCAATTAAAACTCTTTTCTCTTCTCCTTTATCCGCAACTTTCGCTGCAAATATTATTATTATTATTATTATTATTATTATTATTATTATTATTATTTTTGAAGAGATTATTATTATTATTATTATTATTATTATTATTATTATTATTATTATTATTAGATTTGCAACAATATTGCTACTTCATTATGAGATGCTAGATCATGATTATTCTAATAGTTTTATTTCAAAATGTTAAATTTTAATATGTAAACAAACTAATTTAAATTTGATGAAGATGTCCGTTTTAGTCTCTTTACATTTATCAGCTTATCAAAAAACTAATTTTACCAACCACTTTCAATCATAACAGCTAGCTTAACAACAATTCAGTTTTCAACTCCGAGCTTATAGCTTTTCAGCTTTCAGCTCCTAGCTTATAGCTTTTCAGCTAGGTTTGTCAAACAGAGCCTAGAGCACCATATTGCTAGTCAAACCAAAGGGAAAACCTTTTTTCCTTTTAAATATGAATAGGAACAAGATATCTATATTGTCAAGATCAAGCATTTATCACTATACTAAAAGTTATGTTTAGTAACAAAGACGTAAATTTATTTCTTTATACTTGTGTTGTAGTGTGTGTAATTTTTTCAACAACAATATACAATGCATTAACACATATAGCTTTAAATAATATTCAAAATTTTATTAAAAATGTGAAGATGTGTGAACGTAAGAAAAGTGTACATACCTCGGAGTTAAAACGCTGCACGGCGGCCATTGTATCTGCAGCTCTCAGGAGAAGATACAGCTTCTTCACATTTGGCTGAACTCTCAGTATTTTCTCCACAAAAACTGCATCCATAATTTATAATTATTAAAATATAAAAAATATGAGATGTTTTGTACAAATTAAATAAGCCTGAAAAGTGATGGATATATAGTTTTGAATACTACTTTTAGCGAGAAAGCCAGTGGCACCAGTGACAAGAATGGCTCTGTTCTCCAAAAACTCCACAGCACTGCCCAACTCCATTCCAAAGAGAGGATATGGTGATGACGATATATGATATGATGATGAATGATGAGGACGTGATTCGGAATGAATAAGTACGTGGTGATGAGAAAGTGAGGATAATAAATAGCTGATCAAAGTACAGTTGGTCTAAAATAAAGAACATTCTTATAATTAAAATAATTGGAATACAACATTTTAAAGAGTAAATACCCAAAATGGTCCCTCGACTATAACTAAATTCACAAATTGATCCTCAACTTTCAATTTCACCCAATTAAGTCCTTAACTTTGCAATTTTGACACGATTTGGTCCTCCATCTAATTGACCGTTTGTTGACCGTGATCGACGATCTCCAGAAGAACCTTCAGCTCTCGTCGGAGCACGTGGAGGCCTTCAGGATGACGTTGCACCGGTTCGGAAACACGTCGTCTTTTTCGCTCTGGTACGAATTCAACTACATTGAATCCAAAGGGAGGATGAAGAAGGTGACCGGGTTTGGTAGATTGCTTTCGACAGTGGATTCAAATGTAACAGTGCGGTCTGGAAATATAACTGGAACCTTAAAAAACCGATGATGAACCATGAAATTACATATATATCCTCAAAAATCACAGTCAACAAACGGTCAAATAGACAGATGACCAAATTGTGTTAAAACTACAAAATTAAGGACTTAATTGGGTGAAATTGAAAGTTGAGGACCAATTTGTGAATTTAGCTATAGTCGAGGGACCATTTTGAGTATTTACTCCATTTTAAATATCAATTCAAACATATTATGAATCAAAATATTGTAATACTAAGCACCAAATAAGCGAATTACCATGTAGTGTGATGGCATCTCGGTTATTCATCCAAGTGGATGGTCGAAAGTTTGAACCTCGGTGGTGGGGGCTTAGATTCTTTGGGCTGAAAATGTTTGAGAAAGTAGTTTGACTTTTTATGATAGCTAATTACTCCGTATATATTAACATTCTTGGTATGAGTCGATTAGTTATATATTAGGCTTCTTGTTATGAGTCGGTTAGTTATAGACAATATAAACTAGTTTACCTCGTAATTTTTTGCCGACTAAAGTCACAAGGCGAAATACAACAGGGGAATATGAGTTTTTGTCAAAGGGTCTACAATAACTGACATTTATATTAGGGAAAATGACTTTTTTAGTCCTTCAATTATGCCATAATGGTAAACTCAGTCCTTTAATTATAATGAAAACTCTATTTAGTCCCTAAATTGTTTACCTGGCGATTTTAGTCACTCACCTCAAGTATATTTTAAAATATAATGTTGATATGAGGGAAACTCCGAAAATTCATTTGCTTCCCCCAAAACACACAGATAAGTACGAAATTGAATATGAAATATGATGTAAGTATTTCCGCTAAACAACAATATAATATCAAATGAAAATATTATAGTACTAGAAAGCTGGATTCTCTAGTACTAAAAAAGTTCTTATGGTAATTGCATGATGCATTCTACTCTCATTAATCGAGATGGTATTCATGGATTCACCTTCCTCTACTTCCTTCTCTATTTCCCATATTCTTTTAGCTTTAAAAATTTTAACGTACGTAGCATTTTCTGATAAGTTCGATCATGACCAGCCCAACAACTCCGATCCCAACCTGAATCCGATCATCAAAAAACACAATTCTTTCATCCTCTTCCTTTTCGTGTACAACAACAACAAAAAAAACATAACAGAGTAATGTCATGTACATCTTGTGTAGCAAACATTAAGAACATATGTACCGCTCAGAAAACTTCTCCTCTATTGTTGCGCATTTTGTTCTTGTATGTATTTCATGTTTAAATTCTTGAACTAGATCCATATTGACTTCCTTTTCGTGTTGAGTTTGAGTATACTAAGGTTTTTTATATTTGGATCAGAATCATAAGTCATGAAACTAATGACGGAAGTCATTAGAGAGTAGGCAGAAATGTTGAAGTAGACAAAAGACCAGTTGTTGATATCTTGGTAGACAATGATGATCCTCTAAATGTATGACCATATGATCCACCAATCCACCATATGTGGCCACCTTATAAGGTAGATCATTGACATAAGATACTGATGGATTATATTCACCCAAGGGTCCGAATATATAAATGAATGTGACAAGAAAATGATTAAACGATAATAGGGGTAGAAATAATGATACGAATATAGTCATGGAGACTAGTATTGTATTAATTGTATGTAGAATGCTATTACAGAGGTAGGACTTATGTAATAACAAGAAAAGTTTAGATAGAAAGTAGAAGATGTCTCTTTAGGACACAAAGGAGTGTTTTTATAGGATATATCGTCGCAACAACCCCGGAGAACTCGGTGGGAGTAGCCTGGACCGCAACCGCCGCAAGACTCGCTCCACACGAGGACCCCGTCTCTTGGCCGAGCACAGGCCTCGGCCAAGTAGCCAGTCGAGGGGTAACCGACCCCAAGGAGGGCGACCCTGGTGTGACCGATCCCACGGAGGCCGACCCCGTGGTGGCCGAGCTCGGGTGGCCGACCCCGAGGGGCAAACCCCTCGTGGTTTGCTTGGCCGGGTTTAGATCGGATCTGGTGTCTCTGGTCTAGTTCGCTCTGAATCCATCCGTGATTATTCCATCATCAGTCTCCCACTCTCGATGCTGCGAGAAGTCGTCAGCACAAGAGAGTACTACAACCAATTAATAATTACGGACCGAAAAATCGCGTACAAAATCTATAATTCATGCCCGGGTAGAATTGCTATCGCGATAGGAGTCCAATGTTGTATAGAATTCAAGATCAGTCCATCCATATCCTTTTAGGATTCCTCTCCCACTACAACTCTTCCTCCTTCCCTATAAATATTCTTCAAACACATTCCCACACTCAAAGGTCACATCACCCCTCTTCTCCAAAATTCCACCTCTTCCCAACACCAAATTTTGAATTTCAAAATGCCTTTCCCCTTTCCCCCATTTTCGCTTCAACCCCTCTTCTATATAAGGTAGCTTCTCCCCCTCATTCTCCACAAACACAAACTCCCCAAATCTGAAAAATCACTCCCACCTCCCGGTAGAGAACTTCCGGCCGACCACGAAAGTAGCTGCCTGTCGCTGAGTCGCTGAGCAGCCGACGGACGTCGTCATTCCCTACGACCCCTCTGCCCAACTGCCGACGTCTCCGCGCGACTGCCACCACCGTCGACAGCTACCGCCGAGCCCAACTACCGTCGTCCCCCTCTTCGACCTCCGGTGAGCTGAGCCACCACTCGCCAAGTCAACTCCCCAATCTCGCTAACTCCTCTCCCTTCGTAGAGTTTGGTGAGTAGTCTCCACCCCTCTTTTTATAGTTTCTTACGAATTGCGTTTGTTCCCGAGCTTGTTTGCGTATTTTCCGAGCTTGGTTATGCATTTGGCATCCTTTATTTGCAATGAGCGAGCATTAGCTTTGGCCAAGTCCTTTGACTATCATGTGATATTGAACTCTATTGATTATTCGGACCTCCCGTCAAGTGATGACGAGTCCCTTGACTTAGACCGATTCCCCTCTCCCCCTTCATATATTGACAATCATTTTATAGTGTCTTTAGCAATGCATCCTCCTTATATGTTGAGATGCATCTTACGGTTCCGTTCCCCGTGAGCCGGTACACCGCACTTGATTTCGCTATTCCACCCTGTCGTTTTATTTATTTATTCTATTTTTTAAAAAAAAATTAAAAAATTTATTATTAAAAGTTATTAAAAATTATTTAAAAATTATTTAAAAAAATGACAACTCAGCTGCCACGTAAGCAGGTAACCTGCTAAAATTGATGGTAACATGCTATCCGGTGAAATTACATACATTTGGGGTGTTCAGTGACCTAATTATTGCACATTTTTGGAGTGTTCAGTGGCCTAATTGCACTTTTTTTATTCAGTGGTCTAATTGCATTTTCAGGTTACGTTCAATGGCTAATTTAAACCTTATTCCAATCTTAAATAAGTAAATTTTTTAAATAATTGATGGTTTTTGGGTTTTCGGGCCCAAGGAGGTCCAACACAACCTTAAGCTGGTGGATACACCTTTCACAAAAGGGTTTGAGTCTCAGCAAAATAGGATGCTTAATAGTACTTGTCTATTCCCTCTCCGGGTTCTTAAAATCTGCCTCATACAATGGTGGAGGAGCCTTTTTTATAGTGGCTCCTCCTCTACCGACTTAAAGGCTCATGATGGCCGACTTAAAGGGTACATTCAATGTGCCGAGCCGTTGGGCGACGTTACGGACCCTGCCAACGGCTCTTTCTGACTGGTAACTGGCGGACCGAGTCCGGCCTTTACTGCCTCAACGGCTCTTTGTCTTTGTAAGCTTTGAAGGCTCCTGGGATCGAGCCCTCTTCTGGGCCGGGCCTGGGCCGACTCCTCGTTCTCATTTGTCATTGGGCCGTCCTTCCGGGCCCCGGTCTGGGCCCCCTTCTTCGATCCTGGGCCGAGTCCTGGACTCGGCCCACGCATCCCTTTCTGGGCCTCTTCTCTTGGGCCGGGGTTCTCACCCCATCAACTAGTCCCTCACTTTTCCATACCCGGTCCACCAACCTGGGTTTGGAAAAGTAGTAACCACCACCTGCTCACCGAATCCGTGCCTTGAATGATTCAGGATCGGCCCAGATTATTCGCTATCTCCCGGATCTCGCGGGACCGTTCTGATTTCCCTGGCCTGGCCTGGCACCTATAAATGACCTTGGTCGTACTTCTCTCAACCTACTAATTCCTCATGGGTCGCTCTCCATTGAAAGGGAAGCGGATTGACTTTGGGTCGCCCCGGCGCCCCCTGCCTTCGAAACGGACTCGGCCTGAGTGGGAGCCAAAAAGAAAGACTCTCCGTCCGACTCCACAGAGATCACCTGTGGGCACTGCCTCCATGGCTCTTCATCCGCCGACTCCTGCTCGTCGTGAAGTCGCTCCGACTTCTCGACCTTCCCCTCCTCCGGGGACTGCTCGAGTAACCTCCCCGAGCGGGACCGTTGTTGACGTACCTGTCCCGGAGCAGCTGACCTTCCGTATGACCTTTTCTATTCCTCTGGATGACTTGGATGGTCCGATTA